CCAGTATAGAAGTGCTATAAAAGAGTACTGTATCTAACATCAACCAATCAATGATGAGATTGTTGTTCTGCCCGAATCTTGCTCTGGCCTTGATGACGTGCGTCTTTCTCAGTCAAACTCAGCTGAGTCAAACTTGTAAGTGTATAGAGACAAGCTCGACATCCATGTACATGTACAATAGTATGTTTGCAATTCAAAGATACAATATAAATGTTCGTCTCAGCATTTTTGGTCTCATCATTGCTTTTTTGTCTTAACTAGATGCCTGTTTTTATGGATCTTTTCAATTCTACAATAGCATGTTTGCAATTCTGAGATACAGTATCAATTTTCGTTTCAGTATTTTGATCTCAAAATTGCTTGTTTGCTATAATTCTATGCCTGTTTTTATGGATCTTTTCACTTCTAAGTCATCCCCACCTTCCTGCAAAGAATGCAATCCAAGCTGCGGTATTTGCGCTTCTTGTAATTAAGGATTCACAGTAACCATAACTGCCATATGACCAAGTCTTTTCCCTACTTCAATCTTAATATGCTGAGTGCTAAGCGAGCATGCAGCAGCTACTATCATAATGGTATTTGGTATGACCAGGGCATGGGGATCAAACTCATGACTTCCTGCACCAAAACGGAGCACTCTGTAAGGACACTTAATAAATCATTTAGATATGGTACAGGCGTACAGGCCATGACAGTGTGAAAACGATAAAATATGCATGATCTATCAATTCAAATTGTTTGGATTTCAAAAATTTAACGAAACTATATGTGTGAAATGATAAATCTTGCCTGACATATATTAAATTGCCTTCCAACATCTATTTTTTTAGTCAGATGCGAGTCTGGCAGTTGTAATAATGCTGGGACTTGCCTAGAAAATGTTGACGGTCCGTCTGGCTTCCGCTGCATTTGCTTCCCTGGCTTTTTCGGAGAGAGATGCGAATTGCGTAAGCAATCACCTTGTATCAATAAATATCGTCCTTTGTTGATAACAGGAAATAGTTGCGTGCAACTAAATGTTAGAAAGCATTTTTACTATTGCAACAATTGATACCAACAGATATGCTTCGTTAAACACAATTTATCCAATAATAGTGTGTCTTCCTAAATAAGTGAGATTTATTCATTTATTTATTACTGCAAATTTAACAGTATGCCATTATCGTTTGAGTGGTCCAGTGTATATAGACACTATTGACAACATCTAGTTTAAATGCTTTTTATTCTGAAGACTAAGAAAAAAAGGATGAGCAAAAATACACAAAAAGTGGAAATTGAAACATTTCAACTGAAAGAGAATACGTACATTGTAGCATTTTATAAACCTTGTAATATCTCATTGCAGGTACGTGCATCTCTAACTTCTGCTTGAATGGTGCAACGTGTGTAGCTCATACTACAAATTTGGTATGGATGTGCTTTTGTCCCCTGGGTTATCAAGGACGATGGTGCCAAAAAGGTACGCCGTGCCTTTCTAATAGTGGACACATTGTCTATCTCAGTATTGACAGATAACAGCTAATAGCTCGAAGTTGAAAAGCATACAGCAAAGTGATTAAGGGCGCATTCCCATAGATTTTAGATCGATCTAGTGGGGAGTCTCACTAGATTACTGTCAGATAATCCGGCTTAAAAGTCCGTCCCCCCTACTACAAGCTGTAAAGGGATAATTAACTTTCGTGTAAAGGGGTAATTAACTCCACTGACAGCTATCTAGCGAGAACCCCCAGGGAGTTTGGTCGATCTAGTTGGATCGATCTAATTTCTGGGAATGGGGTGTAAGTGATTAGATGGACCTTTTATAATGAAGACATTTGATGATGCCCGTTAAGGTGGTTAATTTTTTTTTAGTATTCTGTCGTGGACCAGTACCAATGTATATCATTTTATTTATTTTTCCCGCTCTGTTATGACAAAATTCAGAGATCATGTTTTCCCGCCCGCCTGTGAGCCGGTGATGATAATTTCTGCTACCTTTTCGTAGACTATTAGGGTTGGGAAGATGGAACTTTCGCAATGGAGAAATCTGTCATCAAAGATGTGCATGGGCATTTTGGATCTTTCACTTAACAGATTGGGCTGCTACTCTATCAATATCCACATTTAAAACTTCCTCGCTTTAATGGTCTAGCGGGAGTTAGTAAAAAATACAGCGTGAAAATTAAGATTGAACCTTCCCCCATTGTAACGCATTCTACAATTTTCTTCTTGGCCATCGGAATGAGAGTTGAAACTTAGGGAAACGATAGTCCTATCATCAGGAATATGCGTGGGGGCTTTGTAATTTAAGTTTGCCTATTTATAGGACAGTCCCCGGGCGTGGATAATTATAATTTCCTGAATTGTAAATTGGGCTATTTTCCTAAGACCTATAATGAAGAAGTTGAAACTTTTGGGATTGAATGCGCCAGATAATTTGCTTCATGNTTTTTTTTTTTTTTTTTTTTTTTTTTTTTTTTTTTTTTTTGTATTCTGTCGTGGACCAGTACCAATGTATATCATTTTATTTATTTTTCCCGCTCTGTTATGAAAAAATTCAGGGATCATGTTTTCCCGCCCGCCTGTGATAATTTCTGTTACCTCTTCGTAGACTATTAGGGTTGGGAAGATGGAACTGTCGCAATGGAGAAATCTGTCATCAAAGATGTGCATGGGCATTTCGGATCTTTCACTTCACAGATTGGGCTGCTACTCTATGAATATCCACATTTAAAACTTCCTCGCTTTAATGGTCTAGCGGGAGTTAGTAAAAAATACAGCGTGAAAATTAAGATTGAACCTTCCCCCATTGTAACGCATTCTACAATTTTCTTCTTGGCCATCGGAATGAGAGTTGAAACTTAAGGAAACGATAGTCCTATCATCAGGAATATGCGTGGGGGCTTTGGAATTTAAGTTTGCCTATTTATAGGACAGTCCCCTGGCGTGGATAATTATAATTTCCTGAATTGTAAATTGGGCTATTTTCCTAAGACCTATAATGAAGAAGTTGAAACTTTTGGGACTGAATGCGCCAGATAATTTGCTTCATGTCTGCAGAAATTGATAACCAATTCACGAGGATATTTTGTGAGTGAGAAAAAATAATAAAACAAATGGGTTAGTTAAAGCCTCGGTCACAACCGGACGCACGTATTTTAGGATTGTACGTCCTCTACGAATTTTGGGTGCAGCGGAGGTCGTGTAGTTCGCAGAGGTTAACGAAATGTTTCAGTGGAAAGGTGCAAGTCTGCCATTTGAGTCGCAGGGGCCACGCAAGATGTCCTTTTAAGAGGGACGCTATTTGCAGGGCGCGATGACCGTGGAAATTGTATTTATTCATTGAGTCTGTCTTGCGGCCTGCGTACGTGGCACGCACTCACTACATATACTTCCGCAGAGAATGCAACGCACGGCCAAAGTAGTTCCCGTTTGCATCAGTTTTGCATCACACTTGCCTCACACCGTCACACGTTTCGATGACGTAGTGGCGGCGTACGTCAATTTTGCCTCCTTTTCTCCCCTTCTTTCTTCTTCCTCATCTTTTCTTTTCTGCTCTCAAATTTTCTTTCTTTTGCCTTATGAAGGCATATAAAAAGCTGAATTGAGCAAACTTTGAAATTCCTGAAAGTTATTGTACACGTTGCACAATCGACTTTCATTGTCGAGACAAGAGCGTGCGTCGTGAGCACACCTTTTATACTTCAGCGTGCGCCGTACTCAACACGCAAAAGGCACTTGCTCTTTCATTGTTTGCGACGTGTGTCTTGGACCACGCACGTCTCTCTTGCGAACTCCTTGTGAACTCCTTGCGAGGCGCGCTTGTCACGCTTGCGTCCTAGCTGTTCGCAGGTTATTCGTAAAATATTTTGGACATGTTCAATATTCTCCGTACGTGCTTACGGGGTGTCTGCGAACTCGAAAATTCGTAAGAAGGACTTGCATGGAACGTGAGATGCTGCGGCAAATTTGGACGCGAACAGCCCATAACAGCCCGTACTGTCATGGCCTGTACGCCCGTACTAAAAGAGTCAAAGCAAAGTATCGACACTCTAGCTAACCGTCATATATTATCTTAATGGCTTAAGATATTTTTGTTAAGGTGAACGTCAAATATATTTCTTTTCTTTCAGCAGTGACGGGATAAAACCGAGAATATGCAAGAGGGAATAGACCTTTGGACATTCATTGAAAATTATTTCTGAATTAAGTAACTGAATTGAAAATATTTTGGACATTGCATTTTATTCTTTTTATTGCTCTGCAATTTCTACATCCCATTTGTTTAACCATTTATGATTCTAAGCATAGAACCCTTAATTGTCGTTTTTAGTAAAAGTGCGGACAGATATGGACATTGACAACACGCTATGGTCAATGGATTATTTTTCATGTTTTTAATATTTCAATAACAAATGCCACATTGCATTGCATTCTTTGTGTGGTACAGCTACAGTTGTAAACAAACCCTTTGCACTGCGACCTTATGTGATTTGGGGGCTGAAAATCATTGACCCTGTCTCGATATGGCAAAGAACCATTTAAAAACTCACCATACAGATGGTGATCGATCCAGATCAGAATGAACATTTATGTAAGTCTATGCCTGTCCTTTCCTTAATATTTCCATCAAAATTCGTTTCTTATAACAAAACTCTGTGAAGTACGCACCAACTAGTCCACAATACCAGCCAATTTTGGTATACTGTAGCTGTTTTGCTTTACCATGTCAATATTTGGGACAAGGGTGACACCAAGCTTGCTGAAAACTGGGCAGCCACAAGCCTGAGTAACTCTTTCGATTTTTATAAAAATAAAAACCTTGTGCGTTGAATTAATCCTTGAAGTTTTATGCCTGTCGGCATAACCCAACACAATTAATCTCCGCTCCTTAATTCTCGTAAGTGTTTTTCCAATTGCGTTGGAAGCTTATATTAGGTTCGTTCCGGAAAACGTTTCTTCATATCAATATCCAACGGATAACAAAATTACAACACAGATTGTTAATAAGATAACGGAAGTTAGATATTACGGAAAAGTTCATTTTGTTTCGAAGCCAGTATCTTGTGATGAATGTCAGCGTCTCGAATCTCCTGAAGAGTTCCCAAAACGGATGGTATATATTTCACCGGAAGTTTCTGTTTTAGTTCCAAAATTTCCGTTTTCCTCACGGGAGTCGCGCACAGAAGAAAGTGGCCCAAAACATCCATTAGTCGACACGTTGTGTCTAGTATGTCTTCAACAGTTTCGTGCAGCCATGAGATTTTGACCTCCAGTGAAAGGTCAAAGGTCACATTTGGCTGAGTGTCATGATCCTTACTCAGCCAAACGGCGGCCATGTTGTCCAGTCTCTGTAATTGATATATAAATACTCAGGTAAAAGTATGTCACTTGAAATGAACAAAATATCGTCAAGAGATGTAGATGCTGTAATGTTCAATGTTACAAAAGGGTAGGCCTGAGAGGGAAGAATGACGCCGTTTGATCGACATTCAGATACAATTTGTTACCCATTAGGAAAACAATGGCCAAAGCGCTGAAAAAATAATTGCCAGGTCTCTGCTCAAAAATTGATTTGAGTCGACCCTTAGTGAATGAAATACTTTAACATTGTTTTCATGGACATATTATTCACTATGTGACATATTTCTTTTCTTTTAACCTCTTACATGAAAACCAACGTCACAATTTTATTCAGTTGCGACGGTGCCATACCATGTATCTCACCTACAGCAATCAGTGCACTTGTAGTAAGTTTGATTAAATTTCTTTATCATTTGAATTAGGTGACTAAGCCGGATTATATTGTAAACCAAATTGATGGTCAAATATTTGTGCAGAAATTTGCTTTTCCGCTTTCATTTTCAATAATAAATCAATATTTATTTTTTGTTTCAATTATCAAAGCTCGACCACAGGGCGACCACCAGAAGCGCCATAGAAAAGCGTCGCATAAATATACATTGTTTTTAATAATTTTCCTCCTTTTTCCTCCTATTTCTTTTCCCTATAATAGTAATTTTTAACAATAATTTGACCATGATGTCACAGCATTCTACTTATCACGTCTACTCCATATCTCAACGTTTGTGACGTACTGGTACATTTCGAATTGGCGGAAATCCCTCATGATGTCTTACAGTTGCCATTTTTTACTCAAGATGCCAAGAAGATAACACACAGCAGCACAAACTTACCTTTTTTATTCTGTTCAACAAGTTGACGATTTCAATTTCGTTGTCATTGGAAAGACACGCCGTGGCCAGACCGTGAGTACATTGCAATGCCTCTTTCATGCACCCCAACTTGGCAGTCAGTTCACACCAAACTTCAGTTATTATTTTCAGTTTGTGATATCTATTAACGGTAGGGAAAAAAGAAATGTAAGGATCTAGTATTGCATTACATTGTCATAAATCTTATCCATAGGGTTTATAGTACAAAAAATACAACATGTAATAACTGTAGTTTACTAAGTTAAACAACGTTTTATAAAGGTACATGTATGAGATGCAATGTTACCAACGCTATTTAAAGTTTTTGACGTTGATTTTTGAAAGAAACATGCACTAATGTCCGATATTGATTAAAATAGGAAAGCTTTATCTAACATAAATTGAAACTATAGTTAAGGCTGTAGCTGTATATTGCACTTCAACACAGGGAGAAGAACCATGTAACCATCACCTCGTTCTAAACGCCAGCGTTATTTTTCCTTTCTCCTCTCTCTCTATCATCTTCTGCATGGGTCTGAGGTAACCTTCCTGAAGTTGGGTGGCTACGGCTCTTAATAGAATGACATTCCTGGTTAGATTCTCGGACACCGTTTGCTCGGCCATCGCGGTGTACGCTGTTTGTTGCTCTTTTCGTTTCGGTGTACGACAGGATATTTAGAGTCTGTGGCTAAGTGATTTGTTCATCTATTACTGTGTGTGCTTTCGATTCCAACTGAAACTTATTTCTTCTTGGAGCTAGGACTTGTCGTGTTACCATTTAGAAATAGATACGCTGTCTCNTCAAATATTTGTGCAGAAATTTGCTTTTCCGCTTTCATTTTCAATAATAAATCAATATTTATTTTTTGTTTCAATTATCAAAGCTCGACCACAGGGCGACCACCAGAAGCGCCATAGAAAAGCGTCGCATAAATATACATTGTTTTTAATAATTTTCCTCCTTTTTCCTCCTATTTCTTTTCCCTATAATAGTAATTTTTAACAATAATTTGACCATGATGTCACAGCATTCTACTTATCACGTCTACTCCATATCTCAACGTTTGTGACGTACTGGTACATTTCGAATTGGCGGAAATCCCTCATGATGTCTTACAGTTGCCATTTTTTACTCAAGATGCCAAAAAGATAACACACAGCAGCACAAACTTACCTTTTTCATTCTGTTCAACAAGTTGACGATTTCAGTTTCGTTGTCATTAGAAAGACACGCCGTGGCCAGACCGTGAGTACATTGCAATGCCTCCTTCATGCACCCCAACATGGCAGTCAGCTCACACCAAACTTCAGTTATTATTTTCAGTTTGTGATATCTATTAACGGTAGGGAAAAAAGAAATGTAAGGATCTGGTATTGCATTACATTGTCATAAATCTTATCCATAGGGTTTATAGTACAAAAAATACAACATGTAATAACTGTAGTTTACTAAGTTAAACAACGTTTTATAAAGGTACATGTATGAGATGCCATGTTACCAACGCTATTTAAAGTTTTTGTCGTTGATTTTTGAAAGAAACATGCACTAAATTCCAATATTGATTAAAATAGGAAAGCTTTATCTGACATAAATTGAAACTATAGTTAAGGCTGTAGCTGTATATTGCACTTCAACACAGGGAGAAGAACCATGTAACCATCACCTCGTTCTAAACGCCAGCGTTATTTTTCCTTTCTCCTCTCCCTCTATCATCTTCTGCATGGGTCTGAGGTAACCTTCCTGAAGTTGGGTGGCTACGGCTCTTAATAGAATGACATTCCTGGTCAGATTCTCGGATACCGTTTGCTCGGCCATCGCGGTGTACGCTGTTTGTTGTTCTTTTCGTTCCGGTGTACGACAGGATATTTAGAGTCTGTGGCTAAGTGATTTGTTCATCATCTATTACTGTGTGTGCTTTCGATTCCAACTGAAACTTATTTCTTCTTGGAGCTAGGACTTGTCGTGTTACCATTTAGAAATAGATACGCTGTCTCTCTCTTTTTTTTTTTTTTTTTTTTTTTTTTTTTTTTTTTTTTTTTTTTTTTTTTTTTTTTTTTTTTTTTTTTTTTTTTTTTTTTTTTTTTTTTTTTTTTTTTTTTTTTTTTTTTTTTTTTTTTTTTTTTTTTTTTTTTTTTTTTTTTTTTTTTTTTTTTTTTTTTTTTTTTTTTTTTTTTTTTTTTTTTTTTTTTTTTTTTTTTTTTTTTTTTTTTTTTTTTTTTTTTTTTTTTTTTTTTTTTTTTTTTTTTTTTTTTTTTTTTTTTTTTTTTTTTTTTTTTTTTTTTTTTTTTTTTTTTTTTTTTTTTTTTTTTTTTTTTTTTTTTTTTTTTTTTTTTTTTTTTTTTTTTTTTTTTTTTTTTTTTTTTTTTTTTTTTTTTTTTTTTTTTTTTTTTTTTTTTTTTTTTTTTTTTTTTTTTTTTTTTTTTTTTTTTTTTTTTTTTTTTTTTTTTTTTTTTTTTTTTTTTTTTTTTTTTTTTTTTTTTTTTTTTTTTTTTTTTTTTTTTTTTTTTTTTTTTTTTTTTTTTTTTTTTTTTTTTTTTTTTTTTTTTTTTTTTTTTTTTTTTTTTTTTTTTTTTTTTTTTTTTTTTTTTTTTTTTTTTTTTTTTTTTTTTTTTTTTTTTTTTTTTTTTTTTTTTTTTTTTTTTTTTTTTTTTTTTTTTTTTTTTTTTTTTTTTTTTTTTTTTTTTTTTTTTTTTTTTTTTTTTTTTTTTTTTTTTTTTTTTTTTTTTTTTTTTTTTTTTTTTTTTTTTTTTTTTTTTTTTTTTTTTTCGCGACTATTTTTGTCTTGAAGAGCCCGTCATCCGTTTAGTTACTTTTTAATCCCAATACTCCTTAGCTAAAATTCTTCACACGTAGAAATGTGCAGTTGGCCGAATTCATACTTTAACGTCTTAAAACGACGCTGGACTTCTCCAATCCGTCTTTCTTTTTTTCTCCCCACTACATCTATTGGCTGGCCTTGTGAGCTCTATTTGCAGTTCAAGCTATAGGCTTGATTTTTCAGTTCGCAACCGAAACTGTCTTAAGTTCGAAGTTTTTCTTGATCCGAGTCGGTGCGTTCCTTGACCTGTGGATGAAGACAAGCAGAGTAAGAGATTAGATGACAATAGTACCTTGCTGTTTGATAACAAAATGTTGCCTAACAAAACTGTTTATTTTCTACAAACGTAATTTTGCGTCGTGTTGTCAGTGCGGATATAGAAGGCAGTAGTTTAGAAGAGGGGGTGTATATATAAATGTGTCCAACACTCGAAACGTTCGAAGCGTCTGTCCGCTGGCAATATGGTCCCAGAACTTAACTTCAAAAGTTATTTTGGTAAATGGACGATATCCAAAAGACTCTGAGCCGACCGGTTAATATAAGTACCATTCTATGACTTTTAAACAAATAGATATCACCATGTTTGATTAACAACTAACTTGGATTCTAAACCGAAACAGGAAGGACATGGCTCTTTAATGGTATAATTTTCCTGAAATTTTAACAATTTATTCTATTTCATCAAGGAAGCCTACACCCTCTCCAACCCTTTAGATAAAATATTTCAATTCGTTCTCGATTTCCCCAAGTACTTATTTTTACTCAAAAACTCAGAAACTTGGAAACTCTTCACTGAATGCTTTTGCTAAAAAACGATTATTTTTGCGCCACTTCAGAAGGGTTTACACCCTCTTACCCCATGCAGGCCAGCTGGGTGGCTACTGCTTTTTTTCTTTTTTATTTATTTATGATTATTATTTTATTGTTTTTATTATTTTCTGGGCAAAAATCCACAGAGACGAGTGCAGAGAAGCAAATGAATATATGTGAATACATACATACACATGCAGTGGCGGATTTAGAGGGGGACAGAGTGTCCTGACCCCCCCCCTTTCAGTTTCTGAAATATATATTACACCAATATTCCCCCTCTTGAAATTAGAATTTTGACTAGCTACATCATAGTTCTAAACCGTACCAAAGGGCACTGTTTGCTCTCCAAAGCACCAAACTTGAGCAGGCTCTGAACCCCACACAAAGGGGGCGATGGTAGGCTTCGCATCCAAGGGCTGTCCTTCCGGACCCCCTTCAAATAATCCTGAATACGCCCCTGCACATGTATGTACGCGTACTATCACGCTCGTGTTGACATTTGGACACAAATGTACACAGGCAGTGTAACATGTGTGCGCGCACGCACACGCGTCGGTACAATATCCCAACTGAGCCGCTTTTGTTCTTTATTGCTTATATTAGGAGTTCTGCTTTCGCACAGTTTGTACTGTTTAATGGGTTTTAATTCAAATATTTATCAAAGGTCCTCTGTGATTCAAAGGCTGTCTCCACAGAAGAAAAAAGGACTAATTAAATATCTTCACTGTGCATAAAAATTCTGCCGCACAGTAAGCAAACCCATTAATATTTTTTTCTAATATTTATAAGGCATAATACGTTTTCTGTGTTACGTTTTTTATGTTTACAAATATACCAAAACAGTTCTGTAGTCACTATTTTGCATTCCTTTTACAACCCTGAAGTTAAGCTGCAATAGCCTATATTTGAAGGGTGAGAAACTGAAGGGTTAAAAACTTAGGACTGACATAAATTCCCCCCCATGCTCACTCAACTATGAAGTCATACGTGTAACTGTGTATACATGAAGTTATCTTTCTAACAAGTTTATGACTGATGTTTATATTATAATAATAATAATAATAATAATAATATATTTATTTCAAGTCTAAAATCTATAAAATGTTCAATAGACTGTACAACATAAAATACAAAGAGGTTTATAGATAAAAACAGTTAAGATATATTTTATATAAATAAGAGCTATACTAACTTAATTGTAATAAACAGTAATTAAAAGTAAAAAATCCAAGGTTTCTTTAAAATTGTAAAATTTAAGATTCATGAATAAAATGTCTTAAAAATATGAGTTTTAACTCTTTTTTAAAAGATTCTTGTGATTCTATTTGTCTAATAAAAATTGGCAACTTATTCCACTCTACTGGTGCAGCTACACAAAATGATATGTCACCATACGATTTTAACCTTGATTTTGGAACTTTCAGTAAAAGTTTGTCACCAGACCTCAGGGATCTTTGAGGGCTATAATGTTTGACTAGATCAGTTATATATGGTGGAGCTAGTTTATAAAAAGCAGCATGTGTAAAAACTAAAACCTTAAATAAAATTCTGGCCCTAACTGGTAACCAGTGCAGATGCTTTAAAATTGGAGTGATATTATTGATTATGTAAACATCATAATTCTGACTGAACGTTCAAAGTGCATCCTCTGCAAGTCCCAATTAATTGCAATTTTTAGTAACGATTTAGTTACTATTTGTTTTGCGGTAAAATACGCAGGTCCATTCAATTCGCACGGATGTTCAAGAGAAAAAAAAAACAGAAAGAAACTGAAAACAAAATCACTTCCCTGTGTAGCCTATATAGTGTACAGTGTTCTTTATTCAATTTACTCATGGAAGGAACTTCAGCTATTTCAACCCAGCATGTTTCAGTCGCTGTCTTAATCAACCAAAACTCACAATTTTACCGGCTGCGCATGACGTCACTTGCCCCAAAAGCACAAGTAACGCTTGATGTGACAAATTTAACTCCTGCACAAACGCAAACGCGTAAGTCAATAACGACGTAAGTTCCAGTATGTAGCAAAGTAAAACCACGCTCTGAATAACTTGAGCAATCTTATCCATCACTTTTACAAGGATAAAGTTACAACGCGAGGTATACATAAAGCTGAGTGTAACAACCGTAGCCCCTTTCACTCTGAATGTGTCATGTAACA